TTACAAAGAGCCTAACCACAGTACATCTTGATCTGGAAATTATGGAATATGTGAAATTCAAATGCTGAGGCTAAAATCTCAAGGGACAATGTCCCCCGACAACGTAAATTGGGATAACCTGAAAGAGACATTATTTGATATGTTTCATCATCCTACAAGTGCAGGTTTAATTATTTGTGGGGATTATAATGTTAGAATGGGCTCAGGTTTGGAAATACAGAGCTGAAAGGGTAAAGGCTTTTTTTTAAATGAAAGGTAGTTTCTTCTAGTTTCTATTTCACATGACAAGATCCAAAACAAATGTGGAATAGAACTACTTAAATTAATGTATAAATTACAAATGTCCAGTTTACATGGATAACAATGGAATTGAGCCACGGTGGCTCAGTGTTTAGAGAAAAGTACTGCAGGCTTCTTCTGCTGACTGCTGGCTGACTGTAATTTGGCAAATCGAAGGCTCAAAGTTGACTCAGTCTTCAATCCTTCCGAGGTTGGTAAAATGAGGACCCAGATTGTTGGGGGCAATAAGCTGAGTCTGTAAACCGCTTAGAGAGGGCTGTAAAAGCATTGTGAAGTGGTATCTAAGTCTAAGTGCTATTGCTATTGACTTGGGGTTCTAATACATCAGTCAGCTACAGAGTGGGACTACTGTTTTTCATTATATATTCATATCACCATCAATAATCCCAGTAACACCATATTTTCATATTATACATTGACCAAAATGATCACTTACCACTTGACTCAGACTTAATGTGGATATGTGGAAGTAATGTAGCACAAGACAGTCACCATATAAAAGCTACTAGAATCAGAAACAGTTAAAGTGGAAATCACCTTGGCCAAAGTTGTAAGATCAATGCAACGATATAGCCCAACAATGCTATAGCAGAGGGTCACACTTATTCAAAAACCTGAAAATGCAAATATCAAATATGAGGAAGTGGCTAGGAATATGGTTGGGGATTTTAAACCATTGGTGTGTAAATCATGGCAAGGAAAAAGAACCACAGATTAAGGAACTGCTTAGTTAAGTGAAACAAATTATAAAGGATAAATCATTTGGCAGAATAGATGCAATGAGAGATAAATACTGAAAATATTGAGCATTGATAAGGAGAAGGAAACAAGGGTACTATAAAGCCAGGGCAAGACTGAAGACTGTTATGTTTACAAAATACTGATGCAAAATTCTGGGAACTAGTTTCCCAAGGCCAAATACTAATAAGAAAATAATAAGAGAAGCACAGATTTCATCTAAATTTTGGATAGTTTATTTCAAAAATAAATTTGAGGATATTAGAATATCAAGCCAGCAGTTAATGAGTACAGATATATTAAAAACATAATTAAAATAACCCCCAATCACTGCTGCAGAAGTTAAAAGAATAATTTGACAACAGGCAGCTGGCAAAGCCCAGGGAGAAGATAAGTTACCGCCAGAATTTTTTAAGACATTCCATGATTGATGGTCTCCTACTCTCATGTCCTTGTTTACTTATATCAATGCCATGGGAGCAAATCCTTGTAGACTGGAAAAATAGTGTAGCAATTTCAATATTTAAAAAGGGAGATTCTACAACCTCGCTAACCTTCACCCCATAAGACTTACTGACTCAGAGTGAAAGTTATATACCAGGTATCTTTTAAACAGATTTATTGATTGGAACAATAGGTAGGCAGATAATAGCAGAAGGACAGGCAAGTGTCAGAAAGGGACATCGTACTATAGATCAGTGTTTCAGTTTAGAACGTCTGATTCACAAATCATTAATGGTCCCTCAAAATGACTTTATGCAGTATTTATTGATATATTTTCTGCATGATAAATAGAGGAAAATTATGGGAGAAGTTTTAATTACTGTTATAGATAGATTAGTTAACATAAAATTACCTAATGTTCAAATTATATGATGACACTTACATACAAATACAGATAAATCACAATGGCTCCTTAAGAAAGCAGTTTAAAATCACAAAATGTGATTGAACAGTGTAGATTATGATTCACTACTAATGGTCCCCAGGGGTGGGATGGCTCAGTGGTTAAAGCGGTTGAGCTTAACTGGAAAGCTGACAGCCTGGGTTCAAGACCTGAGTGGCGCACAATAGGGTGAGCTCCCATTACCTGGCCCAACTTCTGCTCACCTAGCAATTTGAAAGCACGCAAATGCAAGTAGATTGATAGGTAGTACTTTGGTGAGAAGGTAACAGCATTCCATGCATCTTTGGACTATATCCAATGCCATGCTGGCCACATGACCATGGAAAATGTCTTCAGATAACACTGGCTCTCTTGGCCAAGAAACAGAGATAAGCACTTTACCTTTACTATTGATGGTCCACTTATTCTTTAAAGAATTGAAGAAGATGAAGATATAGGGTAGGTATAAAAGTTGGCCCAGTGGTATTGATCTTTTAAAGATGGACAGGGATCTATTATATCTCTATTTACAATTACCCTTTCCCTTAAACACAGTTTCATTGGACTTCCAACAGCCCATTTGAATGGTAGATATAAAGGGTTAACAACTGCACAGTGTTTATGTATTTGTAATAATTCACATCAGGAAGATCTGATCCATTCATTACTACACTGTCAATTATATCAGGAACCTAGATCTACATTCATCAAGCTCTTGTTAAGCCAACTAAATCAGTCTAGCATAGAAGAAGAAAAAATCTTATTTCCTGCTGACTAATGTAGATGAACATGTAACAAAGCCAGTTGCATTGTTTGCAATGGCCGCAAGGGAGATAAGAAAGCAGATGCTGACAGATAGTGCTGTTAATATTAGAACATATGGATTGTTGCAATTTTATATGAATTCTGCTAAAACGTATGGCTGCAAATAAATGTATTGATACAAAAGCCATGTTTGTTCATTAGTTGCAAATGGAGAAAATGGGCACAAGCAACTCTAAGCACTCTAAGTAAGATTTTTGGATTGATATCATTGTGAGCTGAGAGACAGTGGCTGGCCCAAGGTCACCCAGCTGGCTTTGTGCCCAAGGCAGGATTAGAACTCATGGTCTCCCGGTTTGTAGCTGTAAATATGTTTGTAACTGGCTCTCAAACACCATAATAAGGATATTCTAAACACCCATACTTAGATCCTGCCTCAGGATCCTTCTAAAGGAGAGGACTTAAGAACTGAAACTGGGGAAGGTCCTGAAGTTATGGACAATATCCTAATTATTTTTCTTGCTAGTTCCATTTTTTGCTCTTTCACTGATCAAGATAATCCGTCTCCTGAATACATTACACTGTGTATTCAGAATTTTTATTTTCCTCCATAGAGCATATTTTGGTGCAAAATAACAAAAAAAAAAAGGTTCACATAGCCCTAGGCATGACAAACATTGCTCGTGCAACCTGAATCTTTCTTTGGCAAAGGAGATTAGCTGAAAACAAGTTTTGCCCCTGTAAAATGTCCAGTTTCATGTTTCCTATGGGTTCTTATGAGAGGTCATGAATTTTGCAATCTTCCTATCAGGCAAGAATTTTTAATTTGGGGTCAATGGCTAGATGTCAGGGGGTCCATGACCTTGGAGGAGGAGAAAAATTATAGTCTTAATTTCACTAACCTCTAAGATTTAGCTGGTCTTCTTACTGATGAATGAAGAAGCACAAATATTACTGTGGTACATATTTATTATTTAATTTAATCGTCTGATAATTTAAACTATTAAATTAAATATAGCTGTATGTGAGCATAATTGCTTTCATTTATAAAACAACTGATATTTTACGTATTTAAAGGCATTTCTTGGATGAGAGGCCTATAGATTTCACTGGACTCTCAGAAGGTCCATGGCGCAGAAAGAATTATAACCCTGGCTTCAGGGTAAAGGTAAAGCCAGGATAAACTGAAGCCCAGACTATAATTTTCAAGTCACAAGTTTCAGAGAGAGCCAGTAAGGACACTCTGTCCATGACATTTAGCAAATTTCCTATGGAGTGGCACCTGGTGAGGCTTAAAATTGTGCATCTGAAAGAAGGCATTTACTGACTGCTGTGCTTCTCTAAGAAGCATCCTATCTGCCTTCTGAAGTCCATTTCACACAGGAAGTTCCTTCACAACCTAGTGGGATCTTGAAAGAAAAACCAATTAACAGCCACCAAGGGAGGAACACCAAGCACCCCTTCGGAAGGTTTGCACCAGCTGTCTACCCATCAGATGACAGCAAGATAGCAGCCATAAAACATACATGAAACCACCCCTAGGAAGTGCCAAGGTCCCCTACAGAGAAAGAAGAAAACAGATCCCTGTAAGAGGGTGGGAGTGGTGGTGAAAAATAACTACAAGTAATCCAAAGCACCACAGTGAGGAAAGGGTTAACCCCATTGGTGGAAAGGAGGATGGGAAGGTTAAGAAGAAGGCTAATGCAGCTGTTGGGGCAAAACATCTGCTCCAGGCAAAGGCAAGAGTTGTGTGCCATGCAAGACTATTTCTTCTCAGCCCTTCTATTGTGAGAAGGTGCAAGCAACTCTTCAGCGCTAGCAAGGAGAAACTGCTTCCTTGGCATCTCCTCTTTATTCCTGGTTCCTCCCCACCCACCCGTTTCTGTGCTTCTGTGCGTGCATGCATGCACTGGCATGTCCCTGTCTGATCTTTTTCTGCCCACGTCTGTCTCCCAGCTTTCCAGCCGCCCCCTTGTCTGCCCGATTCTGCTTCCCCCACCTCAGAGCATGTGTCTTCCCTCGCTTGTCTCTAGGATCTCGTGGGCACATTTTTTATGCATCCTTGCTTCCTGCCCACCCCCCACCCCCACCCCTCACACTCCACCCCACCCTGGCCACTGCCTCCCTGCCTCAGCTCAGTGGGGTCTGCAGCCCCTCCGCTCTCCTGTTGCTCAGAGATGAGGAGGCAGTTGCTAAGAGACAGAGAAACGTCAGTACCTGGCCCTCAAGGAAGAAAGAGAGAGCGAAAGAAAGAAGGGGAAAGGAGGTGGGGAAAGACCTGGTTGGAATCACACACACACACTCACTCACTCACACACACACTCACACACAAGCAGAGGCTGCAATTCAAGGAGAGACTGAAATTTCCTCAGTGTCCTTATTTTCAAGAGGGAAGGAGGCAAGAAAGACTCCATGGAATGGGAAGGCTGATCTGGCAGGAAGCAGAGGCATCTCTAATGGAATAAGGCAACAATTTTTTTTAAAAAAAAATCTTCTGCTCAGAGTAAGTAATTATATTTGCTGGTGAGATGAAACTGAAGGGATGAGGGGAAGGAAAGTGGGGCTGCATGCTTGGTGCCATACGACATTTGGTTAAGGAAAGTAAGATTTCTAGGTTCGGAAATGTGAACATGGTGTGAGCAGGGTGTGTCTTAGAAGATGAGGAGATGTGCATCTCCCAAGGGTCCAGGGAAGAGAGTAAGGGCAAGGATATGAAAAGAAAGGCTAGTTGAAAGGAAGCGTGTGGGGATGCCAGCTCAGCAGAGTTTTTGGGGTAAATTGTGTGACTTGCTTGATCTTCAAAAGATAAGGAGAAGTGGGAAAAGGAGGGGGGGCTACACAGGGAAAAGATGTTCATGGAAGGAGAATAGCATCAGAAAGAAAAAGGAAGAATGAAATCATGATAGAAGAACTCCTGCCCCAAGGGTGCACAAAGGATGGAAAGAGATACAGGGATTCTGTAGCACAGCCCCAGTCCTTTGATGGAAACATAGAAACCAGGTTTTTTCTTTCTATGGAGTAACTCTCCAAACTGCTTCATAGCTGCAGAAAGAGAAGCCCTCAGCAGACCTTATGGATGGGCGGTGCCCTTCAGCTTGGCCCTGAACTGTAGGAAGTAACTAGAGGTTATATTGGCAGAGGATGCAGGAACAAGGTTGAATGCAATCCCAGGACCTGTTACAAAAAATGTGGTTGTTTAACCTGAGCTCCCTTATTTTCTACTTTAAAGTAGGGATGGTCACACTTGGGGATCAAGTTCAAAAGATTTGGATTCTTGTACAATAGTAGATATGAAAAGGAATAAAAGAAGTCTGCGTATTTAAAGAGTTTCAATAATTAATTCCCATTCACTCTCTGATTCACTTGCTTTTACATGCCATCTCTCAACCGGGTTGATCAAATGCTGATTTATGCTGTGTTTGAGAAAAAAACACTAAACAAACAGCCCAAATCAGAAGTCTTCCAGCCAGCCTAGTGATTCCACTTTCCTTTTATCTTCCAGCATGGCCTAGAAGGCAAAGTTCCATAAACTTTGCCTTTGAGTAAATCCTCCATGTTCAAGGGAGATTAACTACAAGATAGTTTGTTTTAGAACTAGGTACTCCCTTTTCTGGTGAAATTTGGTGTTATTTCCAGGCACCTTCTCACCTAGACTCCTTCCCATTTTTCAGCTTTTTGGAATGATTGATCTTTTATTGATACAAGTTGATTTCTGCCTTCCCACAGTCATAAAGGGCATCTCAGGTCATTTATAATGGACTTGTAACGTAAGATAGAAGTGGATAACTGAATAGTTTAAGGCAGATTTCTTCAATCTAATGCCTTCCAGATGTGTGGGACAAGTAATGGATGTAGAATCGAATTCAGCTGGCTTCACACTGAACTACAATGCTTTTCCTCCTTCTCAGCCAAAGTTGAATATATTTGCCTCCTTGAAGATAAATTCACTCTTTGGCCAAACAAGCAGTGCCTCAATCTTCTTTCTTCCCACACATCTCAGTCCAGTGCTACAGTAAATGCAATAACAACCATACATTGAGAAAATTGTATGGAGTGCTCAAAATGATGTTTATAATAGAGGACAAAGAGTAGGGGCTTTGGCAGTGATTTGGGAAGAAAGTGGGGTGTGTGCATTACTATTAAAAACAGATGGCAAAAGGAGAGCTATGTTGAATGCACAAGGGGTATATGATCCCCACTCCCCACTTTGATCTTCATTATATTTCATTGACAGGTTGTCCTGGAAGACCTTTAGCCTGGGAAAGAAGACCGAGCTTCAAGGACAGCATTACATTCTTTCTCCTAACCCTTATTATTTAAAAAATGATTGTTCTTGGCATACACCTTCCAGCTTAGTTTTTCAAGTTAGGCACAACATGGATTTATGTACCTATTTCAGTGGCTCTAGTTCTGGAGGGCGGAATCTGCTCCTAAAGTGAAAGATAATGGCTAGCCATCTTCCCAGACAAGTAAAATTTTGGACTGCTAAGAGGCTCCTCACCTCAAGCCTTAGTTTCTCCTGACCTTTCCAAAAAAGACTCACTTGATCCAGTTTAGCAGCAGCTTATCGAGAGGAACCTCTTCAAACATTAGCTTTCTGGGAAACAGAAAAGGGAACAGTCAAAGACAGCTGTTTCACTTATTTTACTAATACCTGAATGATTCCAGGAGACGTTCCTTCTAGTCTGGTAGAACTGCAGATAGAATTACTGAGACTGCAAAAAGCAGTGACCTGATTATATTTTTCTAGTGCAATGAGAAACTTCTGCAAGGCATCAGCAAATTATGTCTTCAGCGCACCGACACGAAATAAAACACACTAAAATAGGAGCACATTTTATCTTAATTCAAGATCCAGAAATCTAGTAATCAGCAGATGCTGGATAAAAGTTATCAGCTTTGTTTACATATTTTTATTATAATCTTTTAACTTCTCCATATGCATGTATGCAGGTAGATTACACTCTTCAACTTCCTACAGAAAAAAAAAATTATTCTGGAAGCTAAACAAGCTACCAAAACTTGTCAGCTTCTCGCTTAGTTAGAACTATTTTATGGTCCTATAAGTGCCTCAAGATCTGACAAACTTGGGTTCAATGTTCCTCGTTTCTCCAGCCATAATGTAGCAGTTTTTTGTCAGTGATTCCTATTGGCTGGATTGTGTCTCCACCCATTACTGCCCCTTCTTGATTGGCCTCTCTTTGCCATGTAGCTTTCACCTTGCCAAAATGAGTGCAAACTGTGTCCAGCTGGGAGGAGAGCAGTTTGTACCCCATTGCTCTCCTGCCATGATATTAAGCCCTTTCCTTGTAGCAGTGGTAGTAGTCTTTGCCAGTGCTGTCACTGGTTGCCCAGTTCTGTGCACATGCCGCAGCCAGGCCGTGGATTGCAGTGGACTACGATTGTTTTCAGTCCCACCAGATCTTCCATTGGACACCAGAAACCTAAGCTTGGCTCACAACCACCTCACAAGCATCCCTCCTGGATACCTTACCTGCTACTTGGAATTGAGAGTATTGGATTTGCAGAACAACTCCCTTGTTGAACTACCAGTTGGACTCTTTTTGACATCTAAGCACCTTTCGCATTTGGACTTGAGCTACAATAACTTGACTCAGGTGGTGGCTGATATGTTTCAGGAAGCCTACAGCCTGGTATATATTGACTTAAGCCACAACCCTTGGCTGAAGAAGATAGACCCCCAAGCTTTCCGAGGCTTGGTCCAACTACGTGCACTTGATCTCAGCTATGGGGCTCTGTCTTTCCTTAGCCTTGAAGCCTTAGAAGGTCTCACCGGCCTGATGACTCTTCAACTTGGAGGCAATCCCTGGATATGCAGTTGTACCATGGAACCACTGCTGAAGTGGCTGAGAAATAGGATCCAGAGATGTATGTCAGGTAGGTGAAATGAAGCAATTGTCCAATTCTCAGATTTATTTGTAATTGCATCATTTATCTTGCTATGAAATCTTTATTCATTTGTTAATCAAGTTTAGATAGTCACCCATCTCATCGAAGGGAACTCTGGGCAGCATACAACAAACCACAAATAAAACCACATACAAAAACCCCATAGATATATAAAAAAAATGTAAAAATCACCTAAAGAGTAAATATTACTAAGTACAGATATACAAACCGTAGGGAATAAAAATAGCCAGCTCAGCAATGGAGCCATCTAAGCATGTCTTAGAGACAGAGCTAATCTAATTTGGGAGGAGTGGAGGGAATGTTCCATAAAGCAGACGTCATGGCAGAGAGGATGCATCTCCTAGGACCCATCAAATGTAGATCCTAGCTGAAAGGATCTCTGAATCCTTTCTGAAAGATCCTTCAGGCAGTGTATTAAACTTTCATCTGAAGTATAAGAGAAATATCTTTTTGTCTCAAAGATAGTATGAGGTTAAGGATAAAGCTTATTAACAGGTAATGGGATTTTAATTCAGGTGAAATGTCAAGTTGAGTTTCAGAAATGTGTATATGTGTATATTTGGAGCTTCAAACGTCTTTAAATAATCAACATTATGTCTGTGTATATGTCTATACTGAAAAACAAATATTTCACATATACATTTAATGTATATATTATATTATAACTTAGTTATAATATATATATCTTGAATAAAGCAATTCAATCTAATAATAAAAATAAATGTCAAATGATACACACACATTATAACCATATTGACATGTATTAAATTTATATAACTGGTCCTCTCACATAAAGCAGTTCTAGGTCTCTAACTCAATTAAAACATCAATGAAATTAAATTGCAATAGAAAAATTTCATAGGAAAGCAAAAGGAGGCTAAACTAAGTTTGTCAGTTAATTTGTCAGTAACAAATTCGTTCACTTTTCAGATTCAATCAGCTCCCATCTCTGAGGGGGAAAAATCAAGTACTTAGAAGCTTTATAATAGGGCAACTGGTATGGGATTAATCTAATCTCAAAAGAAATGGGTTTTCTGATACAGGAAAGCCATGTTTCCTGAGTCTGCCAACTGACAGGCTTTAATTGACAGGACCTGGTACATGTACCTTCTGCCAGATCTGATGGAGCAGGTAATGAGAGAGAGACTGCAAATATTCTGAACTATATATGTGCATAAAAAGTGACAACCAGCCTTTTAGGCAACACTCAGAAGCTTATTGGGAACAAGGGTGTATCGAGCCACATCCTTAATTGTTAATAATGCCACATTCTGGACCACTTGTAGCTTCCAGATAGTCTTCAATTGCAATAGTCCCCTTCAGAGTTAATCAAAGATGAGACACAATGTGTGCTGCCATCCAATTGGAGAAAGAATACACCACACCAAATTGAACAACAACATTCCTGTCCATGGCTGTCACCTGCTCTTTGAATAGGGACCATGAATCTAGGACACCCCCCACCAAAAAAAAAGTTTTTACCAGTTCTTTCTGCTGTGATATCATCCAGAACTAGGGATGAAAAATCATTGAGTCAATGAACCCTGAAACCCTCAATCATATTTGGGTTAAACCAAGTCTGTTCTTCATCATGCAAAGCCCCACAGCCTTCAGATACAGCCTCCAGAGACACAGATCATGCTTGTCATTTGTCTGGCCCATAGCAGAAATATACAACTGGGTGTCATTTATTAATTTACTTAAATGATTTATATTGCTGCCCATCTTACACAGGTGACTGCACCCAAGAATAAGCAATAACACACTCATCAAACACACAGATAAAATCCAGCACAGTGATGACCTTCTGTGATGTTTATTAACTTCACGTAACAGTTTTTATAGATGCTAAATAGGAATGGGATGAGCCTCAAGGTTTGAGGAATCCTACAGAATTGGTGATATGGGCTTAATCTCTCTCCCCACTGTCAGTGCTGACTGGAACTGACCCCAGAGGAAGGAGGAAAATCAGCATAAGTCTGTGCCTCAAATTCCTAATACCAAAGTCAGTCCAGAAGGATATCATGATGGATGGTACTGAAGGCTGCTGAGCAATCAAAAAGAGCCAGAATATGTACACAGCTCCCATACCACTCCAACCAGAGATTATCCATAAGCATGAGCAGTACTGTTGCCATGCCTAGACATGAAATGAACTAAAACAAGTCCAGATAATTCATTTTTTCCAAGGTTCTGTGAAACTGCAACATGACCTCCTTCTCTACGTTTCTTTACTAAAAATTGTCCCCAATTGGACTAGTGTCTTAAGGAGCAGATCACTACTTTCTTCAGTGGGCCCATCCCTCCTCTCAAAGATGCATTCACTATAATTTGAATCTCTTGAAACAGGGCTGCCAAACCACCCTTTTTAGATATGGGCAGAAATGTACATGTACTTTTAAGAAATCATTTCTTACCTGGAAGTCGCTATCATGTAGCCTCTCCTCCCTTGTGGATCCCAAGGCTTTCCCTGGTTTACTATGGAGCAGAAGGAGCTATGAGATATCTGGAGAGCTTCTGGAGATCAACAGAGAATGAACCCAATGGAACATAAATTAGATCTGCTATTAGGATCTACCTTGTCTCACTAAAGATGGCAGAACTGAAGACAGAACTTCACATAATTGAAGGCAGATCAACAAAAAGTTATCTTGGAGCTTGATAGAATAAAGAGTTGACAAGTAGACTGGCTCTTCAATAATTTCTCTCCAGACAAGGACAGATATTGAAATCACCAATAAGTGTTCCAGATAGTTGTTCTTCATTAGGAAACTGCAAAACCTGAAGACCATAAGGATTTAGTACTCTGGGAAACAAAGGAACAGCTATCTTGGTCAAATTGCTGCTGTTGCCTGAAAGGACACAACATTTGCTTACGCTTACTTCTTTTCTAATTACAATTAGAAAATTAATTTTCTAATTAGAAACAAAGTAAGCAAATGTTGTGTTCTTTCAGGAAGAACTTCCAGAAATTTCAGAAACTGCTTCTTAACTGGTTTTCAGCTAATATAAATCTTTGGATCAACAGTTTTTACAGCACTCGGTGAATTTCCTATAATCCTTAGTGAAAGAAATTTTAACTACAAATTTAAGAACTGTTTTTTTAAAAAAATTAACAAAAGAGTGATTAAAACGTCAATTTTAGAACATTAAAAATAGACGGTCCAGCTAAATTTGAAATAAAAAATTTGGAATTAATTAATTTGAAAAATCCTTTCAATGGGAAAATGTTTTTTTTTTTTTTAAAATAAATAGTAAGATAAGACTTTAAAAACTGGACATTGGAGGGAACTAGAAAGAACTAAAGATTACACTTTAAGGAGAAGAACACTCAAATTTAACATAATTATACAATATAGCAAAATAGTTTAACATTGGATACTTTGAAGGATATTTTTGAACAATGGTGTCAGAAGTTAATTTTAATAGTGTCTGCTTCAAGAGATAGACTGAGTCTAAAACATGTCATGGAATAAGAAAAAAATATATATTTCAAAAGATTGAGATTTGAGTTGAAAGTGAATTTAAAAATGACAGACTATACTTTTTCCAGTATGGAAAAAAGATGTTATACTGAATATATAAAACAGGGGTTTTAAACTCACAGCATCACGGTGTCATCATGTGACATATGGGGACTTTTTTCCCCTTCACTAAAATGGGCATGGGCGTGGCCAGTATGTAATGCATGCAGCCTGTGGGCTGGGGGTTTGACAGCCCTGATACAAAAGAAATGAGTTGATCTCTTAATAATTAAATGGGATTCACAAATAACAGACTAAGAGGGTGAATCAGATGGTTTTCTCACATTGTCTGTACAAAAGGGTTTTGTTAAAGTTTGAAGTATTTTGGGATAAAAAAACAATGAAAAGAAATCAAGTTCTAGGACTTTGTTTGAAGGGACTAAATAAGTAAATGGAAGGAATATAAAGTCAGTTTATTTAATCAAGGTTAAAATAGATGTGTTGTTTGCTAAGTTTTATTAGACTTTTGCCAACATCAGAATTGAAATGACAAGGTTCTACAGTTTTGTTTATAAATAAGAAATGAGATATGGAAAGAAGAGATCATTTGTGGTATTTTAAGAGAAAATACAGATGGAAAGTCACTTCCTTTTATATTTCTTTTTCTTTTGTTTTAATTTTATTGTAATTATAATTCTTAATAAAATTACTGTTTTAAAAAAGGAAGAGAAGCTACACAGGTACAATCTGATTAAAAGCTCAGCCAGTCTTTTATTCCAAGTGACAACCAAGACTTTAGTCTCACCATCGGAAGTGTTATTCAGCAGGTTCTGACCAGTTCTGGAGAACCGGTAGCGGAAATTTTGAGTAGTTTGGAGAACTGGTAAATACCACCTCTGACTGACCATCTATTCTCTGCGTCCTGATTCCCAGCTGATCAGGAGGAAATTGGGATTTTGTGGTAACCTTTCTCTGGAGTGAAGAGAGAATGGAGATTTTACAGTATCTTTCCCCTGCCACGCCCACCAAGCCATGCCCACCAAGCCACACCACATCCAGCAAGCCACGCCCACAGCACTGGTAGTAAACAATTTTGAATCACATCACTGCTCACCACGTGTCATACCTTCAAAAAGAACTCCAAGTTTCCATTGAAACCCAACCAGGTCCATTGGAAACTGCCATGCTGGTACAACGTGGGTTGCCATCTATTTTTCAGAGTAGTTAGCTTTTCAAAGTAGTTGGTCACCTGACCAACTTCAATTAAGACTAGAAGGATTACAACTGGCTTTTCCCACTTCTAGCGCAGCATCTTAATCATTACATACAATGGCACTCTCAGTTGTATGAGTGTATATATGCATGTGTTTATATGTGTATGTGTATGTGTCTGTCTGTCTATTTCTCTATCTCTGTATCTCTCCTGCAGAGATATTTGAGACCAGATTAAATATAGATTATGCTCAGTTAACAAAACAACTAATGGTCAATTTCTTCCTTTTAAAATGGCTTGCTTAAATTGACAGAAGTAATTGCTGCTCTGAAAATGGAGCAAAAGACAGGAAAGGTCTTCTGGATAAATTATTATAGCATTATGCAGGAGTTCCACGTGAGAGTAAGATAACAGAATGGAGAAGAGAGCATATGTAAGGAGAGTACATTACAGAATGCAGTCAGAAAATGACAGAATGGAAAATGGGGTCTCTCCCCAGAGTGTTGATGGTATATACTGTGTAAAGAATTACCACTTGCACAGAAGCATGATGAGAAAGAGTTTATCTCTATGTGCGTATGTGCATGTAAATACAGGTGAAAGTTGCATTGGGATTGGGAGACAATCCAGAAAGAGCTAAGGCACTCCTTACTTGTTCTTGCTTGCCTTAGCACCCAGTGTCCCAGCCAAATGAGAATCAATTGAAAAGCACCCACTGTTATGACACTAAATAGGAATGCTTGACTGGTGGGTCAAATTGACTGAGCAAAGTGAATTTATTCACCAGTTGTGCTTCAACACTTTCTGTGGGAAAGGGCTTAGGAGTGGTCCCGAACTGGTTGATCACCTCAGCAAAGCAAGGAAAGAAGATTATAAGCAACTCCCTCAGACATAATAAAAATGAGAAGGAATTCCCTGAATGTTTTGGAATCCCGGGGGGGGGGGGCAGAAGAACCCCTTATCCTTGCTTGAATTGTATACTAGATTCCTGGGGGTGGGTAATGTTTGAGGGAGGCTATTTTCAAAACCTGAATATTGGGGTGAGGCTAGGTGGAACAAAGCAGGCAACATATAGCATCTCCTTGAGTTTGGGTCATATTAGCAAGATGACTCCTGTTTCGGCGAGTTGCCCTATTAGTCATAGTTTACAGATCTCTTTTTATGGATGCTACTAAGATTGGGAAGGGGAGCAGGCAGTTTATCCACATATTTATGTTTTGTTTACAGGCCAGATGTGAGTGCAAAGGTTCAAGAGGTGCTTTGAAAAAAAATCAAAGAGTATTATGCTGAAAATCAGTATGGTAGTTCCTATTGCTCCTTCTGTCACCTCTCTGTGACCCTTCCTTAAAGCAAAGCATTGTTCTAATGCTGGCTATCAATATAATATCAGCATCTGCAGCACAGAGAGTCTCTGCACACATTGCCTTACCCAATGCCTGACTGTGAAGAAAGTCCACTTAGGTGGCCAGCAGATGTGCAGGGAATCCATCAGTTCAGCCTGGTTCTTAGGATAAAGCACCAGAGTGAACTGATCCCATGAATGGCTTTCCAAAGGGCCCATGCAGCCTGATGATTTGTACTGGGGCCAGAACAAAGCAGCAGGGCAAGTGGACAGCACAAAGGTCGCTTCCAAAGGACAGCGTGAGTAGGAATATCAGTAAGTACTTCCCACAATTCACCATTCATGAGCCGTGGTGACACAGTGTTTAGGGTGCTGTATTGCAGACTATTTCTGCTGACTGCCGGCTGACTGCAATTTGGCAGATCGAATCTCACCAGGCTCAAGGTTGACTCAGCTTTCCATCCTTCTAAGGTGGGTAAAAGGGGACCTAGATTGTTGGGGGCAATACGCTGACTCTGTAAACTGCTTAAAGAGGGCTGTAAAGCACTGCAAAGTGGTATATAAGTCTAAGTGCTATTGCTATTGCTGCCTTAATCTTCCAGCTATGGCAGAGACATGATTCTCTTTTTCGAGGGAGCACAACCCAGGCACATGAGTTGTCCATCTTTTCCCTCCAGGATGTTATGAATAGAGATTTACTACCCACAAGTTCTTCATTTCTGTCAATTACCAAGACCTAAATGGCCACATCATACTTAACTGGAGGCTGCAGATGACTGTCCTCCTCCACCCCTGTGCAACAGAGCCCCTGGAGGGAAAACTCTGAAAGAGAGGAAGAGAAGAGGGGAGAAACAGGAACTTTTTAAATATAATAAAAGTGAAAACATGGACAAGAATGGCAATGTTTATTGTGACATTGCAGGAGCTCATTGCACTCACTATGTGAGGAGTATTTCAGATATTATGAGTCAAAAACTCTTTTGGAAGCACTCAGAGATGTGATGTCCTTGCAAAGTAAAACATTGTCAGAATTGTATGAGAAGAAGTACGATGACGAGAAAGGGCTCTGGGATGTACCACCTTGCCTTGCTGCCCTTTCTGTGCCCTTGTAGTAGATCCCCAGCTTGCATAATCATAAATCAGCATCCTTTTCCATTCTTCACAGTTTCTTTTTTTCCTGACCCTAGTCTTTTTCTGACCTTCTTGCTTATCTCTCAAGCTGCAAACCTGAGGGCCTGAGGACAGGAAATCCTGCTCAGGCAAGGACAGCAGAAGGCAGCCCTGCTTTAATAGCACCTTCATCTCCTTAAGTGCCCTTATGCAACTGAGTCTATGTGTATTTTTTTAAATGTATCTACTGCTAAATGTTGGTAGACTGGATAATGAAGGAAAGGGTGTTATCCTGCATTTGGAAGCAAGGAAATGCAGGTGACACTGACACTCCTTAATCACTTTGGTCAGCAAAGCTAAAGGTAAAGGTTCCCCTCACACATATATGCAGTCGTTCCTGACTCTAGGGGGCAGTGCTCATCTCCGTTTTAAAGCCAAAGAGCCAACACTGTCCGAAGACGTCTCCATGGTCATGTGGCTGGCATGACTAAATGCCGAAGGAGCAGGGAATGCTGTTACCTTCCCACCAAAGGTGTTTCCTATTTTTCTACTTGCATTTTTTATGTGCTTTTGAACTGCTAGGTTGGCAGAAGCTGGGACACGTGATGGGAGCTCACTCCATTACATGGCACTAGGGATTCGAACCACCGAACTGCCAACCTTTCTGATTGACAAGCTCAGCATCTTGGCCACTGAGCCACTATGTCTGTCAGCAAGGCTACGTATTTTATTTAAGGAAATGTCTCTAAGCAGAAAGGGTGGGCTTTCTAGGGGATTTTCATTAGTACATCTGCTATTTACTACCCAGTTACTCATTATTGTATTATCCAAGATGTGTACAGAACCCATTATTGTTAGAACCAGTTCATAGAAGACCGCAATGAAATCATGTGTATCTGTCAGTTACTATTAAGGAAAACATCCAATGGTGACTTTTATCTGTGTAGTCAAAAGGAATTAGACACAATTCAATAGCATTTCATTTTCATTAACAACGCAAAGTGGGCTTAAAGATATGAATGCTTTATATCAACCGGTCTCCACCCATCCATTCAGAGCAGCTTTAAACTTAGCAAAAATTACTAATTTTGAATGTTTTTAATTTTTTTTAATTAACTAACTTTTTTTAATAAACAAAGAAATTGGTCATGAAGAGGCACCCAGAAATCACATGGACTCTGCACTCTGAAGTGTTTAATCCAAAAACAGCTGCAGAGTGTGATTTCACTGCATGTGTAAAGTAGTTCTGGCGTTTAGCTTTACTCAAAAAAAAAAGTGGATGAGTGAGGCCAGCGATTGAAAATTAATTATGAGCAATAACGGAAGAATGGTGAAGCTTGGCCGGGAATAGTTCCGAAAGGGCTGTTTTTTTTTTAAAAAAAAATAGAACATATTGTGGGAAGTATTTTTTTTAAATTTGTTATTATGCTTTGTATTTTGCTGTTGGTAATTCTCTTTGGGGAATTATTCAGTGATTCAACTCTTAAGAGGAGCAAGTATAAAAATGCAGTTCATTAACTGATATCCCAGCATGAGCTGTGATGGGCCAGCACTCGCTTGTTTAGGAGAGTATGTAAGCTTCTATGCACTGGATACTATCCAACATTTGAATAGATATTCACTCAGGCAGCAAGACTTTCCCTTGTGCCCCTTTCTCTGCAACCCCCAGCTGCTTTCAAAATCTGCTCTGGAAAAGGACGGTCTCGGTGGCTTGGGTCTGGGGAATGTTCCTCCCTCCTCCAAAATGCTTTGTTGGCTTTTATTTAATATCAAATCAGAGTTAAGGATATCCTAATAGAAGTACTATTTTTTTCCCATCAACCTAGGAATTTCTGATATGATCTGAGAGAAATGAATAGCAAAAGGGGTGGGATGGGGAAAATCACTCACTGTTTCAAGTCTTTCTACAGACATAGGCATGCTTGACTTACCGGATTATTCTTGTTTCAGATACCCAACTGGCAGAGTGCCGGGAGCCACCCGAAATGGAGGGTGCTTCTTTGGTCTCCCTGACAGAGGAGAGCTTCAAGGCTTGCCACTTGACCTTGAGCCTGGATGATTATCTCTTCATTGCCTTTGTGGGCTTTGTGGTTTCCATTGCTTCTGTTGCTACCAACTTCCTGCTGGGCATCACTGCCAATTGCTGCCACCGTTGGAGCAAGGCAAGTGAGGATGAGGAGATGTAGTCAGCTGGCCTGATCCTTCCTGCTCCTGCATCGCTCACAGCCAAGGAAGGGAGAGAGGGCAAGGACTGTCATGCTCAGGGAAAACGAGGAAACTTGTCTTTTCCCCACTATGCTGTTTTCCTGAGCCTTCCTCCTCACCTGCAGGCAGCATCAAACTGCCATCCATCCATCTATCTGCTTGTTTGGAGACAGGGCCTGTAGGGATAGGAAGACTGAAGTGTGCCTTGTACAATTCTGTTTGTGCTGGAAACAGCCAGACAAGTCCTGAAAAAATGACAAAAACACATGCTCAGACCACCCTTCATCCTTTGCTTTCTCTTCTTTGCTCTTGCTTAATACATATTTAACATCCTTTCTCCTCCCCTATGTGCTTGTTGCATATTTTCTAAATTCATAAGTGGAGCATATAATCACTCAAAGATCCACTTGCAAAGCATATCCATATGACTACTGACCACTGAGGAAAAAAAATCCAAGACTTTCCTTTTGGGAAGCCTGAAGAATTCTGCCCTCCAGATCATTCCATCCCATAACTACATCAAGGAAGGTTGTTTGAAGAAGGTTCATTCTCAAGCATGAAAGTATTGTCCTTTGAGCTTTTTCCACAAGTTCCAGTGGCCGTCCTTTGGACATATTTATACATTCAGAACTTGCAGTTTTATCAGTAATTCCCCCCTCCCCTCAAAAATATTTTGGAGACAAAAAAAGAAGGGCAGATAGACTATTTTTCTTCCTAGTTGCTAATTATTTTAGTATAGATGGTGCTACAATTTACACAAATGTCTGTTGGTTTTATGACCAGCCTCATGCTAACCAAACAGATTTTGGCTAGAATGGCCTGCCAAGTGAGTTACTGACCTGAACTTCAAATATGGCAGATATGCAGAGGATTACTATACTGCATTACAGGAGCGTAAAACCTTAAATAATTAAAATAAGTACTATTGTAGAATAAGGCTTTAATGTATTGCTCATTTAAAAAATAAATAGAAATAGTATAAGACAGCCAAGTTGGTTCCAAAAGTATTGTAGAGTTTTGATAGGTGTAAACATTGAGGTGAACATTGTAGGATGATCGTGTTTTGGTTGGGTAGAATTGGACTAGCCTGAAAAGGGGGAGAAAGGGGGGGAATGTGGGTATTTGTTGGAAATCATGTTTGTGGAGGATTAAAAAGTATAAGGTGTTTCTCCTGTAGACATTTTAGAGAATCTCCCTAAACTAGCAATTTTTCAACATATTGGCTGCTTTGTTTGTTTTTCAATATTTTTCAAACTATATCTACACCACAAAGTCAGTTTTTATATCCACTGAACTGGTTTTCTCTAAAGAATGGGGATGCTAAATGTTCTCCTTTAGAGAATCTTAGTAATGAAGAATTGTATCAAATTTGAATGCATAGTGTAGCAAATTTATGCATAGTGACCTGGTGCCCAGGGATCACTAGCACTAGATGGTGCTAAAAGTCAGAATTCCAAGGGACATGCGGGAGATTTGAAGGAAGCCACATTTAGTGTTACAAAGATTATTTCTCCAGATCTCATTGAACTGAATTGAAAAATAATGTGCATTTAAGATATGAGGATGATGTTAACAACTCTGTCTCATTGCTACATTCCTTTGCTATCCCAACACATTCAGCATCTTTCATGAAAACATGTATTGTCTTTATTTTCACAACATGAAAATCCCTAAGCACAGGAAGAAATTATTATGGAAGTCTCCGTAATAGAACAATTAGAACAAATGGAGAGAATTATTACTTTTTAAGCAACAAAGGAAGCCAAAATCAGGGAAGGGAACAGAACTGAATACTTTATTATTTCAACTACTATTTACATAGTTCACAAGCCCAGTTCCTAGAAATAAGTATACAAATCAGATGAACACCACCAAGAACATTGATTGATAATATAATTTTTGCATCTAGATCTACAGTGCTAATGGTGCACATGAAGATTCAGATGCCAAACAGGCATATTAGACTATAACTAAAGTTAATATTAACTATAGTTAATATTCCTGCCACAGGAAGCACCTTATGAAGCCTATAACTATCTCATAGAAATTTGTGTCTTCTGATTATAGTTATTATATTTCAACTTTTTTAATTTTTTTGCATAGGTATAGGACCAAACAAGATACTGAATGCTGCTATTGGGGGAGAGGAGCTTGGGAGACAGAAAGGATAGTAAAATCCCATTGCTCTCAATTACTCCCACTAAAATCAAGAAGGTGGTGAGTGAAGTTGTCATTCAAAGGACACCAGTCCTTTCCTTCTTCTTTTATGTACTTCAGGTTTTTTACCCTGGTCATTTCATAGTGAGATCTACCAGGTGAGACCCATGAAGATCTGAGATCTCACATAAAGAGCGAACTCTGCCATTAGTCAAAACGAAGCAGCTTGCATCTGGCAGAAAATAAAATTGTTAATCATTTAGATGTGTTGCTGTTGCTATTGCTGATAAGGAACCATTGCAGTTTTCATCCCCAGGTGCCAAATTGTTCCAGACATGATCATCCATTCAGGAAACCTACAAATAAAGATATTCAAAAATCACATCTTGACACTGATCTCATCACAGAGTAACTTGGGGGTGAGGGGAATATAACACTGTGATAAAAGGATTGGACAGAAGAAAGACTAATTGTCAAGCAGCTCTAAATGTTTGTTTTTATGAGGCTTTCAGAAATACCTGGAAACCAGTTGGTACAGGGCTAAATTATATAGATGTTCATTTGTAAGATAAAATTATGTCGTGTGAATTGTTCTCAAGCTCTGTGTAACTTGCCTGTGTCAACCTATCATGAATTGCACAAAGAAATGTTCAGGTTATATTTAAGGATCCCAGTCGCAGAGCAATCTGTACCTGTGTTGAATTTTCTATTCTAATTATCAAGCAAATAGAGATGGAAGAAAAAGAAACATCATTATTTAACTTCTAATAACAGTTTCCAGTATTCTCAGTACTGAACACAGTACATATCTACTGGCTGATGAGAAAAACATCATTTTATGTCTTGTAATTTTACTTAATTGTGGTAAAAAAAAGTAGATTCCACCACTCCTTGAGCTTGCTTGATTTCTGTCCAAGCTAATCTAAAATTGTTCAAATAACGAGCATCAAGGTGCCTTTCAGTTTGTAATTTCATCTTCACAGAGGTTGGGGGGGGGGATGATCTAAAAAGTATTTTTAGAAGTCCAGCTGGTGATAAGAAAGTCATATGATTATTTATGGTATGTTAACCTGCAATTCTCTGACATTTGCAGCTGGCAAAACTGGTAAAAATGAGTTGAATAAGGTAGAATGAAAAGTGGGTTATGAATTCTTATGCAGAACTTTCATTGAATATGAAAGTTAACACACACTGAACTCTTCCCCTCAAATTCCAACTGTGTTAATTGAATTAATTCTAGAGAAATCAATGTCAGTCACCATCTTCTACAACTCAACTCTTGTGGGATAGTTCTACAGTCCACACTTCCTCAACCTGGACATTCTCATAGAGGCAGACTGTAAGAAAACATAATAATTGCCATGCTTTTAAGGAATTCTTGAAACAGACATCCACACATCTAAAGAGCACCCAGCTTATAGAAGCTTAGCATAAATTATGAGCTGTTTCAGTTGGAATAGCCATAGCTCTGAGAATCTTTTAGAAAGAACATGTTAATAACCTAATCCCAGTGAATGGGATGTATTTCTCATACATCTGCTTCTTAAAGGCAGCCATATTATCTCGCATTGCAATTATGATTCTGAAAATAAAAAGTGATTTTTACAGAAAATCACCAAGAAAATGAATTATGCTTGTTCTTCCCATACTGCTTTTTTTCATTACACATTGCATATGTTTTCAAGAGTTGGTATCATGTAGGCAATAATATCTCTTTCCAATGTCCACATAGCAACATTTGAACATGAATCTTGTGGCTGAATGTAACATAAAAATTTCACCTTGTGTGCCCTTGGCAAACTAACTCATATGATGTGAAGATTCTTTTTCAAGTAAGCCCATGTTATTTATGAAATTATGGAGCCTACATACAGTGCAGGTATATCAAGCACAAGAGTATATTATTGAATCTGAATAATTTGAGCGTAAACTGTAGTCAAGGTGCCCCAACCAGAATTCAGCAATAAATTACAGATCTCAACGCTAAACTTGTTTCATACAGACTGCAGAAAAAAGAATCTTTACTGCAAACAAAAATGAAGACAAATGAACAGTTGATTGCCTACTACCAGTGAAAAGTCCAAGTGTTTCTTAACATGTTCAAACCCACAGCTTTTTTTAACCACCATTCCTGTATAGCTAGCAATAGCACTTACACTTATACACCACTTCACAGTGCTTTCCAACCCTCTCTAAGCAATTTACAAAATCAGCCTATTGCCCTCAACCATCTGGGTCCTCATTTTACCGGCCTCAGAAGGGTGGAAGGCTAAGTCAACCTTGAGAGAATGAGAATCAAATTGCTGGGAGTCAGCAGAATTAGCCTGCAATACTACATTCTATTCACTGTGCCACCATGGCTCTTGGGGTGATGTGAGCAATTATTGAGCATTCACATAAACATCAATTCTGTCCTGAGAGCCACTTTCAGCTTCTCACTGCTTATAATAGATGATGAGATGTTAGTGGTTCTCTCAACCCGCATGAGAGAATATGCCTTGTCTCAACTTAGCCTTGATTTCAACTTCAGTTAGATCCTTTGACAGTGTTTTTTTTTTCTGCCACATGCCTTTCTTACCTTAAATTGTCCCCAATTTAACTGTATCAATGTTAAATTTATATCCCCCCGCCAGCCAGCTTCTTCTTCCACTACCCAAGGGCAGTCTCAAATTATGTAAAACGTATTAAGCTTTGTCATTTTTACCTTGGGGAAGGTCAAGTGACTGAATTAATTTGAAACATAGGCAATGGAAGGTAGGATAGGCAGCAGCAATGGAAGCAGCACATTGCATGCTAATATCATTTTCTGCCAATACAGCCAACTCACTTCGATTCTTAAATGGAAGATGTCTCCATTTAAGACATAGAGCACCATTTAATACAACCAAGTAAATTACAAGGAAGTATGAATGAATCCTGAGTAACTAAGGAAGCATTGCTGCAGCTAGTGGAAAGTTTTGTGGTACTCTTTATTTTCTTTTTGCATATACTGTATATAGGCTTTATTTTAAAAATTGTTGTTATCTTAGAAAATTCGGGTAATCTCCATTTTCATAGCAAGCATCTTGATGTCTCCTTTTTTTTCAATTCAAATATTACATTATGCTTTTGGAAGAAAGACTCAATTATATTACCAAGCGCTATATATTAACTGTGGTGTCTAATTTATGCTATCCAACATACAGAACCAATGCAAGGCGCTTTGCTTTCAAAGAATGATATAATTCTTTTCCATCCATTAAACAGAAGCCAAAGGGACTGGTAACTAGTTATTCTGTCAAAGCTGAAGGATTATAGGACAGGATATCCTAAAGCTGAAGGATTATAGAACAGGATGTAGGACAGAGGAAGGAATGACCATGGGTTTTAGGAGGAATGGTTGGGAACTAGTCACATCCTTCCAGCAAACAACACTTATGGCGGTTGCCTACTTCTTCCAGTGCTACCAGCACCTCAGTTAATAATGCTACATCTGGCCATAGATGTATAGATGTTTCACTGTGAACCAAAAGCATGTATTTTAAAAATAATAAGGAGATGTGGACTGTTTGTTTGTCAGAGACAAATGGAATAAATAGTCATAGTGCCTTTTGTAGCACTCGAATAATATTGTAAAGCTAAATTAAAGTGTGCATAGGACAATTTTTTTAAAGATTAACATTAAAACGTTGTTATGAAACTCAACTTTGAGGATTAGTCATCAATAATCTTATGTGCATGACCAAATCAAAAACTTCCCATTGTTACATTTTGGACATAGAATTTAGGATTTTGCATTCCCACAACATTATTGCACTTTGGGAAATATTAAATATATGGGTAAAATATTTTCTGAGATTCTTCTTTCTCAATCTCTTCTTTTCACACTATCTAGCTGATCAAGAAGGAAAATGGGTGGTCATCTTTGTTTTCTCAGGATCTGTTTTTGAGGCCTAAGATCCAGCATGAGCCTTGAGTCACTATTTGCCAGAAAATGACACATTTGATGACTGTGGCATAAAAAGCCTAGAAAGTCAAAGAAGATTTATGGAGTTTTGAAACAAGCTGCTTAATGAAAAGATTTTTAATTTAATACAAATAATTGTCTAAAAAGTCAGGTGGAATATTATATGATATCACCAACCCCCTTGTGTTAAAATGTGAGCCAAGCCAATTCATATAAAGTAAGCATGGATATTTAACATACAGCCTGCTTTAACTCATGAAAATATAACCCGCTTGCCATCACCACAAGCAAGTCACAATACGTAGATACACTTGTAGACACACACAGTACATACTTTCCTCAGAAATCCTCAGAAACCTCAGAAATGTTATCCAGCTAGTCTTAGAGTGGGGTACAGTGATTTTAGAAATATGTCCAGGTAAGAAAAAAAAATGAGACAATGAATTATGGTTGGAAACTGTTTTATCAGCTATTTCTCCCATCTGTCTTTCTATGAGTTTCTCACCAGCTGACTTATCAAAAGTATTAATAGATTTCCATCAGAATAATTCAGACCACCACTGATGGAAAGAAAAAGAAAATTTCTTATTTAAAAAAAGCAATGATAAGTTTCATGTTACAATATTTAAAGAGGAAAAGAGATGATGCATGCAAAGTTTTTTGCCCAACAAAGAAAGATTTCAAGTGAAACAACCTGGTAAGAGTAAACTTTCTCTTTGCCTTATTCAAAGAAATTTTTTGAAATTTCTAAAAGCTCTTCTAAAATGAATGTAATTGGTCTGCATCTCATAAATTCAGCAGAGACTTGAACCCCTTTCAAAAATAGTAACACAAAGATTATGCAAAATTTCCTTAATAAATTAGTTGGTTTCATTGAGATTCTGTCAATCTTCCCCAACTGGTGTCCTCCATATATTTTGGAATTCAACTCTTATCATTCTCAAATGACAAGACCATATCGAGGAAGGCTGGTTTAAATAAAGTAAAGGTAGAGGTTCCCCTCGCACATATATGCTAGTCATTCCCAACTCTAGGGGGCAGTGCTCAGCTCTGTTTCAAAGCCAAAGAGCCAGCACTGTCCAAAGACATCTCTGTGGTCATGTGGCCAGCATGGCTAAATGCCAAAGGTGCACACGCTGTTACCTTCCACCAAAGATGGTCCCTATTTTTCTACTTGCATTTTTACATGCTTTCGAACTGCTAGGTTGGCAGAAGCTGGGACAAGTAACGGGAACTCACTCCATTACGTGGCACTAGGGATTCAAACCCCCAAACTGCCAACTTTTCTGATCGACAAGCTCAGCGTCTTAGCCACTGAGCCACCGCTTCTCTCATTTAAATAGTTTTAAATAGATCATCTTAGAATACATTTACAGATAAGACTACTACGGAAGGATTGCTTTGAAGGGGGAAACTACATATTATTTTAACTTTTTAACCCAAAACTACAGTTTGTCTTGACTAGGCAAATATTTATATATATCACACTCATGTGTTATATGAATTTATATGAATATACATCATACACCCATATCTAGTCACATATATTGCTAAATATATAATTATAAAATCTTACTGTCTAGCACTTTTAGTTGCCAGGAATACAGATAATATTGCAGCTATATTTTTATGTGGTGTGTATTTATTTTTTATAATCATCTATCAAAAATAAAATACAAATTGGGCTTTATTATGCTTTTGATTTCAGTATCTTCAGTCATTTTGTCCTACCTGCTGTTTCCTCAACTTTTTATTAGTGCTCATTTTTAAGTTTCTCTTAACCACTTTCCCTTGTAGTTCACAGAAATGAATTTTGATGCTTCTAGAAAATTTATTTATTTATAAAAATTATATGGGATGCCCAGGGCTTGCCATGTTCCCCATTGTTCCTTTATTCCCTACATTGCATTTCTTACTGTATGCAAATGTATTGAGAAGGGCCATGTGGAATAACTACACAATGACTTTTGGTAGATAGTGTTAAGTATCTTTAAAACATTCCAATATATTCCATGGTGAATAATTTCTCCTTTAGAGTCCTATTACAGTATTAGAAAATTCAGAAGTCATTCCCTGAATCTCATACAATAATTCCAGCAATTTAGAATATTTCTTGAACATCTGGATATTTATGGGACAGAAAATCCATATCATATCCGGTGGCCTTAACTTTTGCCATGTGACATCTGAAGATGTTCAAAACCTATCAATGTAAAAGCCTATAAATGTAAGAGGCCTGAATGAATAGTCTGTATGGTATTGTGCAAAAATGAAATAATTTGCATACTGCTTATGCTCATTTAGATAAGTCCTGCACAAATGTGATGAAACTTCCCACATCAACAACTCTGATTATGGGATAATATTAGTGAGTATTATTCTGGATGGTTCACTGTCCTGCAGATCAATGTATGTCTGTACTCTTGCATGTCCTTTAATACTGGAACAAATAGTAACTTTTATTATTTATACAGTTGGGTAGTTTTTTCAGTATAACTTTGTGTCAGTCGTCTTTTTTAGATCTATTTTCTGACACAAAACCAGAAAAGTGCAGGAAAGTTGAGGTATTTCCTACTTAACCATTTCTCCTTCTTCCTACTCTTCCACGGTTGAACATTAAACACATGTGGAAAAATGTGGGTATTTCCTTCATAGCCGCTTCTTCTTATTTACAGTTTTCCACAGTTGAAGATCAAACATCTAAGATGAAGAAACCATGTTTTCTATTCCTGGAGGCCTCTTCCATGATTTAAAGCCTTATTTTATGCAAACTTCCCAATTGTGGGAGGCAACTCTGTGACTAAAAAACGTTCAGTTCAGATGTTCGCTTTCCATTTCCTAGAATTATGCAAATGTGGGGGAGGGACTTGAATGGCCCAAATGGGGCTCCTGATTTTTCTTGGGCACATGAATGTCCAAAAGGGCAAACAGGATTAATGTATTTATTTTCTTTCTTTGTAGCTGCTGTAGTCAAAGTAACTGACTTAAAAGAGTATTCCTACAATAATTCAAATAAAAATTAAATCAGAAAATCTATGATCTTTAAGCCAAAAGATTATTTTTAATTTAAAAACATAATTCTTTCTTTTATTTTTGTAGTAAAAAAGGTAAAACAAACGAGTTGGAAATGTTTTTAAAGAATTATTGCATGTTCAAATAATTATATTTGCTGTTTTTGTTGGGCAAATAAATTTCTGCTTGATGAATTTTCCTGCTTGTTATATAATAATTTTTCATCAAGCCAGC